CTCACCCTCGCGCGCTGGGCTCGTGCCGGGCTGCGCTGCCCGGAGGACCCGGCTCGGGGCTGGGGTCTGCGTGGGTGCGTGTCGTCGTGTTTGTGCCCGCGAGTGTTTCTGCTCCTGCAGGCCCCACCCTCTTGAGGGTCCCCAGGTGGGGTGCAAGCTGGAGGGGGGGTGAGTTACGGGCCCAGAAACTGCCCCGTCTACCCCTCCCCTAGGAGCCGACAGCGACACCTCGAACCACCCGCGCACCCCTCAGCTCCCTTCCGGGCGGGGAGGTAACATGCAAATGAGCCACATGCAAATGATCCGTATGCAAATAGACGCCGGGACCCGGGCGCAGTCCCGCGAGCCTGGAGCGCCCCCCGGAGGCCGCCCCGGGGATGCCGGGCTGTGACGTCACAGCGGGGCGCGGCCCACCCGGGACCCCCGTTCCGCAATCAGGCGGCTCCACAAACGCGCTGAGGTCGCCCCTTTCCCTGGCCTAGGTACGGAGGCCGTCAGGCCAGCTCCTTGCCCACAGTCACGTCCACCCTCCGCGGCCGGAATCTCAAAGGTGACCGTATCCGTGACCGACACCTCAGCCCCCTACAGCCCCCCGCCCCATCCGCAGATTTTTGGCAGAGACCCTTGGGCGCCGCCCCCCCCACGTCCGGTTCCTTCCAGCCCGGACCTGGCCACGCTCCGTGCGCCCTGCCCGCCACTGTCCCCCCACTCACGCCCGTTCACACGCAGTCAGGCCCCCGCACCGGCCGTCAGCAGGTATCCCTTTCAGCCACACTGCCGGGGCCGTGGCCACCGGTGCCATCCCGTGGTCACTCTCAGGCCTCCCCCGAATGATCCTGGGAAGGAAGCACTGGCCACACCCACCTCCCTGGAGGCCCCCGCCCAGGCCTGTGGGCCCCTCTTCCCTGGCCCTGGGACGGGCTCTTCCTGGGACCCGGACTCTCACTGCACACTCACCCGAAGTGCCCCACACGGCCTCCATCTGGACCCTCCCCGAGGTCCCTCCACCCCACCAGGTATCCAAGTGCCTCCCCTCCACCCCCTCCACTCATTCCTGGTCAGGTGGGCTCCTCCAACACATGCCCCCACATCCTCCTCTGAATCCCACCAATCCCACCTCAGTCAGGGGCAGCCACCTGCCACTCAGAGCCCTGTCCTGCCAGTGCCTTCCTCACTAGTGCCACATCCCACACGGGAGTCACCCTTGCCCCGTCGGGGCTCCCAACACCCAAGTTAGAGGTCTCCAGATCTCTTGTGATCCTGGGACCCACTGTTCTAATGAGACCTTGCAGGAAAATCCAATAAACAAGGTAGTGTCCCCCACCCCGAGCCATGCCTCCAACCCAAGCACAGCAATCCATCTAAGCCTTGGAGACCCCACCCCCTGGCTGGCCTCACCCTCTCCCCAGGAAAGCCCCTGCCTGGGACCACCACACCCCCCTAACCTTGGCACTGCCCACACCATGCTGATAGTGTCCGGGTGGTGCTGGCTCTGCAAGCACACAGGGCAGGGTCTGACTTTTTATCTCCCTAGGGTAGGGCTTGGCCCAGAGCCAAGAAAGCCAAGAGAAAGGACTTGGCGTGGAGAGTTCACGGCCATCCATGTGCAGTCCCCATCTACCTCTCGCTGCCTGCCTAGATAAGGCCATACAGACAGTACCGGGGACCAAACCCCAGGCCACACACTCGCACACCGGCCCTGTCTGCTGCTGCCACCTGCAGCAAGGCACGTCACGGGTGGGCTCTGCAGGAGGAGGAAGTGCAGAAAACAGGGTGTGGGAGGGGTGGCCTGGAGTGGTACTGGGAGTCCCAGGTGGAGGCTGGCAGGGAAAGCCTCAAACACTGCCCAGGAAGACAGTGGTTCCCCAAGAGACACTGGTGTCTGCTGGCAAAGTTGTCCTGACAGGCGGGCCTTCTGGATGCTCACATGGGGTGCCCGGTCCACCCAGGCCAACACCAGGATGGGGCTTAGGGCCCACTGGGCTGGGCCAAGGGGAAGGGGAACCAGGCAGGCAGCCTGGCCCCGCCCAGCCCCATCAGTGTCTGAGCCCCCCACAGGGGCGGGGATGCCTGCAGAGACAAAGGGGCCATTGAGGCCCCAGGTCCAGCAGGGGGAGGGGAGTGCAGGCTACTGGAGCTATTTTGGGATCTTCAGACAAAATCATTCAGCCCTGACCAGCCCACGCAGGCTCATGCACCAGGAATGAAGATGATTCCTTCCAGCCAGGAATTAGCCCCTGGTCTCTGGGCTCACACTCACAGCAACACACAACCGCACATGCATGTGCCCACACACTAAGGATTACAGGTCTCCAGCATTCGGACACACACGCAGAGCACTCAATCAAGTTTGCACAGGCACTGGTTGTCACACATGCACCCCCGCGCTCACCTGTGTGCGCACACACTGCATGCCTTCCCACGTGTGTTCATACACACTACATGCCCACACTGCATGCCTTCCCACATGTTCATACACACTACATGCCCCTTCTGTGTGCATATACACTAAATGCCTTCCCACGTGTGTTCATACACACTGCATGCCCCCCTCCTGTGTGCATATACACTGGGCATCACACATACCTTCCTGCAAGCTTGTCCCCCTGTACACACATGTGCACACATGCAGGCTCTGGTTGGGCACCTCCAGGTATGTCTCTGGCCATGAGAGTTGGAAGGTGGGGAAGGGGGCCTGGAGAGGGTGGAGTGTCCAGCCCACTGGCAACCCATCCACCCCTGTCTCATGCAGATGACGCCTCCCTCCACTCCACAGGAAAGGATAGGGTGGGGTGGGGTCGCTGGGAGCCCACAGTGCATCACCGCCCTGCCCCTCTGTGCACACCCCCTAATGCAGGGGCCAGGCTGCCACCTCCAGACACACTACACTGTCTGACCTCCGGTCTGACCCGTCTGGCCCCCTTCTTCCTGGTTGGGATCTCTAGGCACTGGAAGGGAAACAGAGTTGCCGCAACAAGGAGCAGTCAAGACCAGAGTCACAGGTGTGTTTGGCTGCACAGTGGTGGAGGGGAGAGGGCAGGTAGAGCCCCCCCCTCCAGTCCTCGGCCTCCCAGTGTCCAGCCTCAGGCTGCTCCACCCCTCCCCCTCGGCCTTAGCAGACAATGGGCGTTTCAGGCTGCTGGGCCGGGCCAGCCCAGCAACAGAGGCAGCCTCTGGTGGCTCCTCTCGCAGGCATGAGGCCCAGAGCCCTGCGATCACCCACCTGCCTCAGATGA